TATATATATATATGGATATAAGGGTCACCAGCCCGTACGTACGGAGGTCCCCGGACAGACCTCCGTACGTACGGGCGTTCGGGGTCCCGTACGGGGTCCGAACCCGACGGCGTTCGGCCCTCGCCAAAAAATATTTTGGGGCCTAAAAATACTTTTTTTTTTCTGAATGTTTTGTTTTGAGTTCTCAATGACGTGAGGTACATGCCTGTAAATTTTCAAGTCATTTGGCTAAGCCAAATAAAAATAAAAAATCGCCAAAGATGGCGGTGTCAAAACGTGTTTTCCCACATATTTTTTCACCTTTTACTTTTTGTTTTCACTTTAGTTCGGGGTCTAAACAATTTTATTATTTTGTGAAAATTTTTTAGTGGGTTTTGTATTATGTGAAGTACCCATCGGTAAATTTTCAGGGCATTTAGCTATGCCAAAAAAAAAATGAAAAATCGCCAAAGATGGCGGTGTCCAAAACATGCTCGTGCACTCACTAAATTTAATTCTCTTTTTATTTTTATTTATTTTTATTATTAGTATTTGTTTTCCGTATTTTATTTTTATTTCAAATTTGGTAAGAAATTCGGATGTAATGCTCAGGCAAATCTTGTTTAAGGATGCGAAGCGTCGGCTCTGGTCTGTGTACTTGGATAGGGTGGTTTTTCCTGACCTTCTCTTGATTTCGTTCTTGTTTGTTGTATTTGATTTGCGTTTGCTTCCTCAGGGAGGCTGTAGAGTAGGATTTGCGGTAGGCCTGCAGGGTGCCTTCTTGGGCCACCGGCGTAGGGTCGGTACCATCCGGTTCGGACGTAAAGGTTGGTCCCCCGGTTGGCCTACGGGTTTGATTTTCTTCAGTAGGTGGCACATACTAGGCTTGCTAGCAACCGGCTCGAGCCGGGGACCGAGTTGCGGTAGACGAAGTCTGTGCATTGCGTGGTTTGGTTTTGTGTGGATATAAAATTGCGCCCGAGGCAGTTGTTTATTCCTCTCAGGTCTGACGGCTTGCGATGCCTATCGGTGTCCGGAGACCGGTAGGTTCAGCAGACGAAAGTGGGTTAGCGGTCAGCTAGGTTAGTACGGGTTTGTCGGTGGAACCCCCTGATGATGACGGCGTGGCGGCTGTCGAAACGCGTCGAGGACGCTTGCAAAAATTCTTCCTATTCTCTCTACTATGTTTGGTTTGCAATCAATTGCTCTCGATTACTTATCCTGATTTGCTGCACTTCACGTGTTTGCTTTCATGACCATTGTGATTTCGTACTTGCGAATGCGCACAATAACTCACCTGGAGTCCGTTATACTGGGTTCCAGTGACCGTGTTATCCGTACCTTGGCACTAGTTGTCAACCGGAGAAACAGGCGTTGACCTGTGTGTGTCGTCAACACGGCGTTTGAGCAAGGGGTGAAGTGAGTGCTACGACCCAGTGTATCAAGTTTTGTTGGACGTGAAGACCCCGCGCGATGGCGGTGAATGAACAGAGAGGGTATCGGTCTGGTGGCGATAGTCGGAGGAGGGATGAGCGCCGAAGTGAGGAGCGTAAAGAAGACGACCTGCGTGATGAGGATCATACCAGGCGGTATAGAGCGCCGACATGTTTCAACTGTCACGAGCCAGGGCACTATGTGAACCAGTGCCCTGAGAAGAATCGAAGGCGATATTACTCGGAAAGACCATCGACGTCCTATGACTCTCGAGGGGGGCGTTCACCTCGTAGGCGGGATTATCGGCATGATAACTCACCCGGAAAGGAGGTGATAAGCAGTACGGTCGCTGAACTTGGAAAATCCGTGGCTGCTATGAAGGACTTCTACGAGGAGGCACGGCTGGAGGAGGCTAAGGAGCGTCGGAGGACCGAGAAGATCGAGGCTGAAGAGCGGGAGGCGGCTGAACGGGAGAAGGCGGAGCGCAAAGCTAAGAAGAAGATGGATAAGATGAGACGGGAGGCGGAGGTCAAAGCTGAGCGAAGGGCGGAGCTCCGTAAGGATAACGACATTCATCTAGTGATCCGTCTGAGCGAGATGGAGGACAATTTCTCCGCAAAGATGAAGTGTGTTACTGAGCCACTAAAAGAACTGCTCAAGAAAGGGAAGAGGAAAGTTACGTATGCATCCGCCAGTGACACGACTTCGGAGGAAGCCAGCGACACAAGCGTGACGCAAGAGTTGAGTGAGCAGGCAGGCAGATTGTTTATCTCCGAAAAAAGGAAGCGCGGCCCCGAGCAAGTTGTGGGAGACAGCCCACCAATGGAGCTAACCCCGAAGCGTACGCCAAGGAAGGGAGCCTTGAAACCGACGAAGCTGACCGGCAGGCTCACAAGGGTGAAGAAGATGGTGAAATCGCCTAGATCAGCCAAGCGGAAGGCGCCCGTAAAGACGCCGTTATCCACCAGATTGAAGACGGTCATTCGGGCGAAGACACCAGTTCAGGCGGTTACCCCGGCTAAGAAAGGAGCGCTGCAGCGTCTGCGTTTCCGTGATGTAGTTCTGAGTGACCTCAAGACCTTCGACGCTACGGAATTGCAGCGTATCTGCAAGGAGGAGGGTGTTCCGTATGACGGTAAGATCGACGCTATCTTTGCAATAGCTTACAGACGTGTTTGTGAGAGGTATGGGCCTGACCATCTCGAGATTACCGATGTTATCGAGGTAATCGATAGTGAGGCGGGTCAACCGTCGGAAGATCAGGTAGATAACTAACGTGTGTTGGAGATTCCGATAGTCTGGGAGTTATGCAAGTACTTTGTGAAGCTTCGTGGTTGTCTCGCTTGTTGTGATGGACGAGTCGAGGAAATCATGCGTCATATTATACTGAAACTATCATTGGATGGTGAGATTAAGTGGTCCCAAAGGTTTATTCCTTCCTGGTTGGATATGTATGAGAGACACGGGATTGGTTTCCTACAGCTGTCGAATGTTGTGTACGTTGGTCTATCTCCGTTTTGTAAGGCACTGTATGTCGGCAAAACCTTAAGAGATGTGACTACTAGGTGGCGGGAGCACTTGTATGTATGTAAATCTTGCACCCCAGCGCACTTCCACCGCTGGTTGTTGAATTTCGGTGTGGGAAACTACCTCTTGATGCCCATCGACCGTCTGGAAGGGGACGAATTAAAAAAGTTGGAGGCTGTGTATATCCGGCGTTGGTCCCCCTTTCTAAATTTGTCAGGTGTGTCGCATGGCAAGAGTGGGAAGAAGTCGAGACTAGGGAGGAAGGAGCGTAACAAATCTCGGAAGGAGAGGCAGGGTAATGTCGTGGATTGTAAGATCATCCGGGATAGACGGTCGGTGGATGAGCCGTGGGTAGTTGACTTTTATCACTTGTTTGATAATGGGGTTAGTGATGGCCTGCTAAACCCACGCGTCATTATCGAGGGAGGGAAAGTATGGCATACTGGCTGGAAAAAGTTTGTCAGGGCCTTTGGTGAGACCAAGTTACGGAAGGATGGACAGATTATGAGACTTAGAGATTCTAAGCGTATTTTGGAGGAAGGAGGGGAGTTCGAGGTAATGCATTGGTGGAAGTGGAAACCCCGATGTCGCTATCTTAAAGCCTTGCTTGTCCAAATTTTGAAAAAAACCACGGAAGCTCGATGTTGTTTTTTCTTGGAACTTACGGTCCCTACTGAGGTTGTATAGGGCTATTTAGGACTTTTCAAAAAAGTCGACGAGGAAGTACTTGCGTCGGATTATCTCCAGAATTTTTCGTGAGCGATTTGACCTGAGTTTGAGCTCGGATCCGGTATTCCGTCTGAAATTTGACGACTGTATTAAAGTCTCCGAGGTTCGAAAGATCGTGAACGATGCGCTAATGCTTGGTGAATTACCACAGTGTTTTCTAAACCGAACGCGAAAAAGAATTTGTATTGTATGGGTTAAAAACCCGTCAGTATCGGATGTTATGCACAACCAGCGAGCTTTCGCTGCTCGCGATGTGCTGACCTATACTTGTACAGGCATGTCTTTCCCTCGTGTTGAAGGACACGTTCGTTTTCGGCTTAGTAAGCTGGAAGGTTCTCACCCGTTGGTGCACAATGCAAGAAATGTACCCAAAGTCGTGGGTCCGGATCGTTTGGGTTTGTTACAAAAGGAAATCTCTGATGGTTTTCGTAACTAGCGAAATTGGAAGAGCGAACCACCGCGTATACCGCTCGTTAATTTGCAGCGTTATATGAGTGTCTCGCTGAGTGAGCCTGACGTCCACCTCAACGTGAAGGATGTGTGTGATGTCTCGGCTAGGCTTCAGGGCTTGGTTCTGACCCCACATGACCGTAATCCAGGTGAGACGGTGGCCATGTGCACCATATTGTATTATAATGCGATGATGACTACATTCGTGATGAGTTCAGGCTATCGTATTATGGAAGTCTTTGACCAGGAGGTGATGAGGGAAATAAAGAAGGATGTTGATAATCTGGGGTTGACCAAGTTTGTGCATTAGGATAAGGCGGGGGAGTTTGACTCTGCATATGTCCTACCTAAGCAGAAGGATTTGGACAGATACAGACCGATCTGTCCTACTTTCAAAGAGCTGATGGTGCGTACCGGCAAGGTGGTCTTGCGAGGCCTGAACTTCCTCCTCAAGTCGCTGCCAAAGAAGTGGCATTTCAATCTTATGTCTGTCTCGGGTCTGGCGAGCTGTTTATCCGAAGTAAACCTGAAGCTGCTTCGTTTGGATGAGGATTGTTGTGTATCAACCTTATCCTTCGATATTAAAGAGATGTTTAGTCGGCTTCCACACGCAGAGATCCTCAGAGCGGTCGATTGGTTGTTTGGTTATCACGTGGCCAAAGGGAGGACAGCAGTTAGAGTGAACCCCAGGGGTAAGGGGGCTTCCTTTGGGTTGACCACAAGTGCCGATCATTGGAGATCCCTGGACCTGCAGGAGATGGCGGCGTTTGTGCGTCTGGAGTTGGCGCATACTTATACATTTGCCACCGGGGTGCTACTCAAGCAGACAGTGGGTATACCTATGGGAAAAACCACTAGTCCACCACTTGCGTGTATTTTATGTGCATTTGCTGAATATCAATTTCTGCAGAATATGGGAAAGGACTACTCGTTTGATGGACGATGTGCTGTTGTCGATTGCGGCACGAGATACCGAGAAAAGGGATAGGATATTATCTTCCTTTGAAGAGTGTTATCCAGCAGAGCTTACTCTGAAGCGGACCGACGATGGCTCAGGAAACTTTGATTTCCTGGGCTGCAGGATTGTCTCGAAGACCAGCTATCCCTTTGTCAGCAGTATCCAAGTCTCGAAGAATGAAGCCACTCTTTGGACTGAGCAGCCCCTACAGATACAATGCGGGCAGTCCTACCTCTCCTGGAGCTGCAAGAAGCAGAAGAGTGCGGTGATCGGGAGCTACCTGCATCGCATCGATCGTAATACTATGATACGATCCGAAATTCCGCAAAGGGTGCGGGCTCTGAAATGAAAATTGATGAAGAAGGATTTTCCTGACGTTTTTTTCATGAATGTCCTGAAGCATTTTGCCTTCAGAAAGGACCATGTTTGGAAGTGCACTGTCGACTTGCTGAGTATGTAGTTGTTGTTTCATCGGATATATGTCTGTATAAGGATGCGAAGCATCGACACTGGTCTGTGTACTTGGATAGGGTGGTTTTTGCTGACCTTCTCTTGATTTCGTTCTTGTTTGTTGTATTTGATTTGCGTTTGCTTCCTCAGGGAGGTTGTAAAGTAGGATTTGCGGTAGGCCTGCAGGGTGCCTTCTTGGGCCACCGACATAGGGTCGGTACCATCCGGTTCGGACGTAAAGGTTCCAGTTGGCCTACGGGTTTTATTTTTTTCAGTAGGTGGCACATACTAGGCTTGCTAGCAACCGGCTCGAGCCGGGGACCTAGTTGCGGTAGACGAAGTCTGTGCATTGCGTGGTTTGGATTTCTGTGGATATAAAATTGCGTCCGAGGCAGTTGTTTATTCCTCTCAGGTCTCACGGCCTGCGATGCCTATCGGTGTCCGGAGACCGGTAGGTTCAGCAGACGGAAGTGGGTTAGCGGTCAGCTCGGTTAGTACGGGTTTGTCGGTGGAACCCCCTGATGATGACGGCGTGGCGACCGTCGAAACGCGTCGGGGACGCTTGCATAAATTCTTCCTATTCTCTCTGCTATGTTTGATTTGCAATCAATTGCTCTCGATTACTTGTCCTGATTTGCTGCACTTCACGTGTTTGCTTTCATGACCATTGTGATTTCGTACTAAATCTTGTTTATTTTGTTTTTCTCCATAACATATATTTTTTTCAGATTTTTTGGATGAC